TATTTCCTCTATCTAACACTATATTTCGTAAACGCTGATAAACAATATATGTTGATCAGCAAAATATCACAGTAAATTATATATAAAACAATTTACCATGAATGACTTTATACAAAACACCTTATAGTGAACGAGTGGATAAATCAACACTGTTACTAAATTATGTGTTACGGCAGAATGCTGATTCCCTTCTTATTTAGTCCAAGTCTGTAATTTGAACTTAACGTAATCCAAATCTGAGTTTCATACTCAACCATTTTTAGCAAACGCCATTGATGTGTAGAAAAAACGGCATGTGTATTAGAGACCATGTATTTCTAACGCCTGTTACCCTCTCACAAGTTGTAAGTTTACTTGAGAATTATATAAAAGTGTAAACAGATATCGCAGATCATTTCTATATTATTTTTATTCACTGTCAAGTCATAATTCTGTCAAATTTAACGATTTACTTTCGGGTGTTTTTCCCCACGCAAAACCGACATTGCTTGTGTCACGTGTGTGCAATTTCCTCACCTGCTACATGTAACTTTGTATTCCTTGATAGGTGATGCATTGCATATTTTGAGTCGTTTTAGTCCCAGCGGCACTCTCCAATACTTATTACTTATTAATTATGTAGAAGTATATGTTACAGAGTTCATTGTAAATACATGCATGTGTATTTTTATCTTTTCAGTGAAACCGTTCTTCGTTCATTCTTTCATCATTCGTTCATCGTTCGTTCATCGTTAGTTGTAACCTGATGTACTGTATCATTTGTTCAATATACTGTTATTGTAACGTTTCATTGTACACAATCATCCAACGTTCATGTATTCATTAACGTAATACCTACCTTCATTGTCATCATGTTGAACAAGTTTATCAAAAATGGGTACAGGAATAAACGAATAACGATTGATTTTTCTACTTCCTCTTTTATTTTTAACGAACGGTCATTGCAGGAGCAATATTAAGAGTACTTGCTTCGTTGAGGTCTTGACATAAAGTGAAGTGTAAAACATAAACCGGAAGTTGATAGCGTTGGTGTCACATGGTTTACCACAAAGTCAACAATTTTGATAATGGCCATAAGAATTTTCTAGAACAAAGCTGCTTTACTGCTAATGTGGTCAAGCACGATGTAAATGAGATTATTATGATCTTCAAAAAAAGGGTAATCAGATACAAAGTACTGCCTTTCGAATCCAACCAACTGTCATGTTAAATAACAAATGTTGACAGGAACCAACATCTTTGGGTTATAAAGATATATTTCAAGTTTCATCAAAATTATATCAAAATTGTGACTTATTGAGGGTCCACAACCTTGATATACCATATATATATACACTATTTGCATACGAGGGGTGGCCATTTTGTCCGGCAGTTTTGGTCCAATTTTCACGAAATTCGAACTCAATCATCATTAGGGTGTAACGGTGATATATTCAAACAGTTTTTTAAATCCGAGAAAGATAGGTTGCCAGGCAACGAAACATACGCCCACAGCAGCTAAATTGTCCGGGCAGTAAACAAGAGTTGTGCAATATTTTTACTTTTTTTGGCAATGAAAATCTGATTAAGAGTAACTTAAAGTCAGTCGGATATTAACTTTGGCCTCTAGAGCATCCACAAGATATTTTGAAGTGATCAAGGGCCATCACTCTGGCAGTAATTATCGGAAATCGCTGAAAATCAATAGGATTCTTTGTCTCATGACCTTAAACACTGTATATAAATTTAATTTAATGTCAATCAGATATTAACTATGGCCACTAGAGCGTCCACAAGATATTTTGAAGTGATCAAGGGCCATAACTTTGGCAGTAATTATCGTAAATCGCTGAAAATAAATAGGCTTATTCTTTTCATGACCTTAAACACTGTGTATAAATTTAAAGTCAATCGGATATTAACTTAGGCTCTAGGGCGTCTACAAGCAATTGTGGACGCCGGACAGCCAGACGGACGGGGGTGAAGAAAACTTACGACCACATTTCAATGTGGCGTATAAAAATTGTTACCCCTAAAAACGTGATTTTTCGTACAATTAAGGGCCATAATTCAGGAAGATATGATTCGTTATGTGCGAATTTTGAAAGGACCCGAGATCTTTGGGCTTTGGGAGATAGACCTATATTTTAAGTTTTGTCAAAATTAGGGTGAAACGGTGATATACTAAAACGTTTTTTAAATCGGATAATAATTGTGACCTCTAGAGCGATCACATGTTAAAAATGTGATTTTTCGTACAATTAGGGGTCATAATTCAGGAAGTTACGCAAATATCGAAAGGAACCAAGATCTTTGGGGTATAAACAAGCATTTCAAGTTTCATCAAAATCAGATGAAAATTGTGACCTCTAGAGTGTTCACAAGGTAAAAACGTGATTTTTCGTACAATCAGGGGCCATAATCCATGAAGTTATGGTCCAATATATGCCTATATCGAAAGGAATCGAGATCTTTGGGAGATAGACCTGTGGGTATTGTAAATCAAATCTAGAAATTAGTTAACTTACTTACAGAAATATTATGAAAATTCCTTATTCCAGTACTAAGTTAACTTACTTACAGAAAAATTATGAAAATTCCTTATTCCAGTACTATTGTGTAGCAATATTGATAATTCCATGTGTTGTGAAAACGTCGTGTATATTGTTACTCTTATTATACACAACAATATTCTAGGGAGCGATATTGTCGCTAGCTTTGAAGTTAGTTATCCGTTAGTTATTCATTATTAGGAATTACGTTAGGATTCTGCGTAATAGGTGGTCTTAAACCGATAAATGTGAGAAATGTGCCATGGATAATTATATATTTATCTTCTTTTCGAAGTTATTGTATTACAACTCAAAATTATCCAGGTCAGCGTGTTTTCTACAGAACATGTGGTAATACGTGTAAGCTACTGGGATGATTTTGCTTTGGTCAATTCGGCCATTTCGATTATTTAAGTAGCTAAAAGGGAATATTTTATTAATAAATAACTATCCTAAGCCTTACTAATATTTCAGTTTTAAGTCCAAAATTTTATTTTTTGTGTACACCATTCTGACAAAGTCGTATAGACACATAAATTCACAATACCCTACCATGAATATACCAGCGGTTGCCAGGCAAGATATTCCCACATTTTGCAAGAGATGGATAGAGAACAAGCTAAAAACTAAAGCAATTTTTTCTACAACCAGGGGTCATAATCCAGGAAATTATGTTCCAATTACATGCCAATATCGAAAGGATCTGAGATCTTTGGGAGAGAGACCTATATTTCAAGTTTCGTCAAAATCGGATAAAAACTGTGACCTGTAAGTGTCCAGAAACAAATGTGAACGGATGGACAGACACATGGACGATGGACAGGGGCAACGACAATATGTCCATTATGTCCCTTTAATAAGCCAAGCCAACAGTGAGGCTGATGTCCCCCGCCGAAATCCCCAAATAAATAGATGACATATATTAATTAATCGCACATCTATTTTTTTCCAAAGTATCAAGCAGTCAAACTGATTATCAACTATACACTAAGTTTCATCACTCTCTATCAGATAGAATCAAAGTTATCTTGTCCCAAAGCAGGAAATTGCTGATCTTTGCTTAGCTTTAGCTCGATATGTTAATCATTGAACTCAGTCAAGACGATCATCTACATCAAGTTTAAACATTCTACCTCAATTAGAAGAAGAGTTGTTATGTTCCAAAGTCGTGACCAATCAAAATGCGTATTGCTCGTTAGCATAAGCAGAAAATTCTCATCATCGAACTTAGTCAAGGTATTGATGTAATGAAACTATACACCAAGTGTCATCACTCTCGCTTAATGAGAACTAAAGTTATCGTGTACCAAAGCATCGACCAATCAAATTGCTTATCTCTACTTATCCTAAGCAGAAAATGCTGATCTTCGCACTCCATCAAGGCATTGACCTCATAAACCCCTACACCAAGTTTGAACATTCAAGCTTAATTAGAAGGAGAGTTATTGTGTTCCAAACTCTCGGCAAATCAAATTGCTTATCGCTCTGCTTACCCTGAGCAGAAAATGCTCATCATCGAACTTAGTCAAGATATTGATGTAATGAAACTATACACCAAGTTTCATCACTCTCACTTAATTGGAACTAAAGTTATCGTGTCCCAAAGCATCAACCAATCAAATTGCTTATCTCTGCTTACCCTAAGCAGAAAATGCTTATCTTCACACTCCATCAAGGCATTGACCTAATAAACACCTACACCAAGTTTGAACATTCTAGCTCAATTAGAAGGAGGGTTATTGTGTTCCAAAATCTCGGCCAATCAAATTGCTTATTGCTCTGCTTACCCTGAGCAGAAAATGCTCATCATCGAACTTAGTCAAGGTATTGATGTAATGAAACTATACACCAAGTTCCATCACTCCCACTTAATTGGAACTAAAGTTATCGTGTCCCAAAGCATCAACCAATCAAATTGCTTATCTTTGCTTACCCTAAGCAGAAAATGCTTATTTTCACACTCCATCAAGGCATTGACCTAATAAACACCTACACCAAGTTTAAACATTCTAGCTCGATTAGAAGGAGGGTTATTGTGTTCCAAAGTCTCGGCCAATTAAATTGCTTATCGCTCTGCTTACCCTGAGCAGAAAATGCTCATTATCGAACTTAGTCAAGCTATTGATGTAATGAAACTATACACCAAGTTTCATCCCTCTCACATAATTAGAACTAAAGTTATCGTGTCCCAAAGCATCAACCAATCAAATTACTTATCTCTGCTTACCCTAACCTGAAAATGCTCATCTTCGAACTCCATCAAGGCATTGACCTAATAAACACCTACACCAAGTTTGAACATTCTAGCTCAATTAGAAGGAGAGTTATTGTGTCCCAAAAAGTGTGAAGGACAGACAAACGGACAGACAGACAGACAGACAGACAGATGGACGAACCCATTTTAATAGTCCCCTGCTTTCTTCGAAAAGCGGGGGACAAATATAAAAGACTGGCTAGAGAAATACTTACTTCCGTCCCAGTAATTCAGCAACTAGTTTGTCTTTATCTTTAAAACATTGTAAAGAGTTCATTGTAGACAGAACATCAGCATCTAAATCTTCTACAGTTGGCACTATTGATGTCTATTAGAAAAAAAGTAAGTATTATTAGAAAACATCAAAAACAATGAAAATGAAAGCTGAAAATAATCACCCTCTCAGAAAACTATTCTATAGTGCATGTTTCATAAATAATACTGAACTAATGATACTATGTGAAATTTAATTCAAATTGAAAGGTTTATTTAATCTTAACCTAAAATATAGTTATGGTTCAGAATAGTGCAATGCACATATGTTGTCTTCGCTTCAATAATCATTTGAAAAACAATGTGAAAAAATCAAAGCACTATAATGCCTATTAAAGAATACAAATGACACAAGAAAATGTAATATTTAGTTTACAAACAATAGCTAACACAGGAATAAAACATAAACACATATACAGTCCAGTACCAAGAGAGCTATATCCTAATTTTAGTTTGATTATGACTATGTTTATACATAAACTACCCCTGTCTTCATTAGCCCAGTTCGGAGCAGAACAGTAGGACGTTAAACCCCATTTCATAAACTACCTAGCAAAAGGAATATGACACTTAATGCACATGTTCCATAAAAAAAACAGTTTTGATATAAACAATGAATATTTTATTGAGAGGAATGAGTTTCTGATGTCTGGAGCAAAAATAAAAACATTAACAATAGTGTACTGGCCACAAGTCAGGGTTAAAGATCAATGGGGTCTAGATAAGGAGAAGGCCTCAAATAAGTCCTTTTGCAGTCTCTCATTTGACAAGACACAACATTAATAGCATGTGGATACATGCCAAAACACGTCTCCTCATAGATGGCGTCAGCTGGCTTATGACGCCATTGGGAATCCTTTTCCATTCTTGCAATAAACCTTGCTCAAGCTGATGTAAATGTGCAGGTGGTGTCCATTGCCACAGTTGCCGATCAAGATGATCCAAGAGGTGTTCTATTTGGTTCATGTCAGAAGAACATGCTGGCCTAGGAATGTGTGGACATTTACATTGTTTAAATAATCACGAACCAGTCTGGCTGTATGTGATTGGGCATTACCATGCTGCAAAATGATAACCCTGTGTTGTTGTTGTATGAATGGCACTTGCACAGGTTGCCGAACTTCATCTCTGTATCTTTGGGTAGTCTGGTCTCCAAGGTCGGATGATAACAAGCCTCCCCATATCATAATGCCATTTCCACCATAAGGAAAAACATCTTGAGTGCAGTTAGGTGCAACACGAATCTGACCATCATTTCAGAACTGGTTGAAGCGACTTTCGTCTGGGAAAAGCACACATTGCCAATCACGCCGCTGCTATCGACGTACAGTTCCTGCCCATTATAACCTTTGCTGACAGATCATTCCTCGAAATGGTCAGTAGGCTCTTATCCAACAATGCAGAGTCATCGGGAGAAAGTGTCTACTTATGCAGTGTCCCAATGCTGTGGCCATCGTTGCAGTCGTAGTCATGAACATTCTGGAGTGAAATGTCCAGATATTGTGGTCTTCAGCTGGAGTTGTGACCCTTGGAGCTTGGTCGGTCTTGAGTTCAGCATGTTTGCTCTAACCACCAAAAAAGGTTGCTAATGGCGGTTAGACTGCAGTGGAATGTTTTTGTAATTTGCCGTTGAGAAGCCCCCATCTGTGCCATACCAATAGCCCACTCTCGTTTTTCCAGTGTTAATCTTGGCATCTCTGTAGTAGTATTTTTTTCATACTAAATCATCGCTCTGGCTAACCTAGTATTTATGCAACAATCATGCTCATGCATCTCGAGAAAATACCCACAATCCTGGTTTTACAAAATTCAGCATATCCTGCATTCAGTGACTGCGATGTGTACACAGGGTATATTGTGTCAATTATTTTCTGATAATGTTTAATCATATTGCAACATTATTGTATAGATAACAAGCGGTTGCCATGCAAGATACACTCACATTTTGCAAGAGATGTACAGAGAACGAGCTAAAACAAAGCGATTTTCGTCCAATCAAGGGCCATAATCCAGGAAGTTAGGGTCTGATTCAGGCAAATATCGAAAGAAACCGAGACCTTTGGGATATAATCATATGTTTTAAGTTTCATCAAAATCAGATAAAAATTGTGACCTCTAGAGGGTTCACAACCTTGGTATTAAATACTTATACACTATTTGAGTATGGGGAGTTCCCAAAAATATTCCAAAAAATTTTAAATCAGACAAAAATTGTGACCTCTCGAGGCCCACATTTTGCAAGAGATGGATAGAGATCAAGCTAAAAGAAGCGATTTTTCATACAATCAGGGGCTATAATCCAGGAAGTTTGAGCCTGATTCGTGCAAATATCGAAAGGAACCGAGATCTAAACATATATTTTAAGTTCCATCAAAATGAGTAAGGAGAGCGGCCATTTTGTCAGGCATTTTTGGTCCAATTTTCATGAAATTGGAACTCAAATGTCCTTTAACAGTGATATACTTAAACAGATAAATCAGATAAAAATGTGATTTTTCGTACAATCAGGGGCCATAATCCAGGACGTTACAGTCCGATATGCTCAAATATCGAAAGGAACCAAAGATCTTTGGATTATAGTCATACATTTCAAGTTTCATCAAAATCGGATCAAAATCGAATCAAAATTGTGACTTCTAGAGTGTCCACAAGCTTGGTATTACATACTCTTACTCTCATTGGTGAGATTTTTTGCAAATAATGGGAACAAAGTGATAAATCAAAATTTTGTTACTGTTACCGGTATACTAAAGTTTAAGAAAGAATATTGATACAAGCTAATAACATGATTTTTTGTACAATCAGGGTCCATAATCCATGAAGTTACGGTCCAATGCTTGCCAATATCGAAAAGAGCAGAGATCTTTGGGATATAAACCTATATTTCGAGTTTTGTCAAAAACGGATAAAGATAGGTTGCCAGGCAACGGCACATAAGCCCACAGCCACTAAATCGTTCGAGCGGTTGACAAGGGTTGTCACACATTTATTCATTTTTAGGTAATTAGGGGCATTTAATAGACAATTTCATACAGATGACATTATAACTTTCGTTGTTTGAGTGTTCACAAGGTTCTGAAGATAGGTTGCCAGCCAACGAAACATACACCCACAGCAGCTAAATTGTCCGAGCGGTTGACAAGCGTTGTCGCATATTTATGCCATTGCAGCTAATTGGGGGCTTTTATCAGACAGTTCCATACAGATAAGATTATAATTTTTGCCATTTGAGGGTTCACAAGGTTCTACAAACTGAAACAAGGTTCTCAACTCTGGAAGTAATCTACAGAAATTGTTGAAATTTGACAGGCTTTTTCGTTTTACTAATTTAAATAATGCATCTAAATTTCGTACAGATCAGATGATCACTTTTGTCATTCAAATGATGCATGCAAATTTCATACAGATCGGCAGGTAACTTTTGATGTTAGAGCGTTCACAAGGTTCAATAAAGTGAAACATGGGCCATAACATTAGACGTAATAAATAGAAATTGCTGAAATTCAATAGGCTTCTTCGTTCCACTAATTTAAGTAATGCATATAAGTTTCAGAAAGATCGGATGATAACTTTTGGCATTCACAAGGTTCAATAAAGTGACACAAGGGCCATAACTCTAGACGTAATGAACAGAAATTATTGAAATTCAATAGCCTTCTTCATTTCACAAATTTAAATCATGCATATAAATTTCACAAAGATTGGGTGATAACTTGTGGTGTTGGAGCGTTCCCAAGGTTAAACAAAGTGAAACAAGGGCCATAACACTAGAAGTAATAAACGGAAATTATTGAAATTAAATAGGCTTCTTCATCTCACTAATGCAAACAACATATATCAATTTCAAAACAACTGGATGAGCGTTCACAAGAAATTGTGGACGATGGATGGACGGACGGGGGCGACGGCAATATACGTCCACATTTCTATGAGGGCATATAAAAACTAAAACAAGGGCGTTCACAATCTACAGAAATTGTTGAAATTCGACAGGCTTTTTCGTTTTGCTAATTCAAATAATGCATATAAATTCCATAACTTTTGTCGTTCTAACGTTCGCAAGGTTCAACAAAGTAAAACAAGGGCCATAACTCTATAGAACTAATTGACGGAAATTGCTGAAATTCAGTAGGATTCTTCATTTCACTAATTTTAATGATGCATATGAATTTCATACAGATTGGATGGTAACTTTTGTCCTTCGAGTGTTCACAAGATCCAACAAAGTGAAACAAGGGCCATAACTCTAGATGTAATAAACGGAGATTGCTGAAATTCAATAGGCTTCTTCATTTTACTAATTTAAACAATACACATAAATTTCATACAGATCGGATCATAACTTTTGTTGATAGAGTGTTCACAAGGTGCAACAAACTGAAACAAGGGCCATAACTCTAGAAGAAAATAACGGAAATTATCGAAATTAAATAGGCTTTTTCATCTCACTAATGTAAACAACATATTTGACTCGGTATGTCAAAATGAGTCGGAATGCACACTATCTAATTTTGAACTAGAGACAAAATAAGTGAAAATATTGATTTCGATCGAAATAGAGATTTTCACAAAAATGGGTCTATAAATATACTCTCGACACAAAAGAGTAAGAGTACCGTATTCATAAATCTGTCCTATTTCTTAAAATTCTCAGCGAAATTAGTTATTTTTCTTCATTCGCAGTGGGACGACCGGTCATTCCGCTTGCATAATAATTGGCATCGTTATAAAGCGGAGAATCTGTAGTTTACAAATATGCTGAAAATATTGCCGATGAATTCATTTTGAACGGGAACAATCAAGTTTTAAAACCCCTAAAAAATGTAAACAAACTCCATTTGTTGCTACGCTGTCTACACATGTCAAAATAGTGATCCTGACAAAATTTGTTACTAACTTACCGCTAAGTTAGCTGACTTTCTAATGGGAAATTAAAATGCGAAAAAAATCTTAAAAAGTGATCCTGACAAAATTGGTTATTTCTCGACAAGCTATTTTTGGACATCTATATGATCTTATTGATTCAATCTATAGGTCCATTGGAGTCAAATATCA